GGGGGGGCAGGGGATTGTTCCTTTTTATTCATGCCGTGAACGTCGCTGTCACTGTCACTCCAGCCCGCCAAAAGTCCCATTCCAGTGCAGAACGCTCGAGAAGAATACCATCAAACCCCGCACTCTCGCAGGCCCGTACCACCCCGCATCATCTGTCGCGTCGCAAAACGCGCGCGATGCGGGAATAGAAAATTCTGTTCTTGAGCGGAGAACGGAAGTGCGCAGGGGAACATGGCTAGAAGCTCGCTGGAAGCACTCTCCTGCTGCGTCCCCCACTGCTCAGCGGGCACGCCCCGCCCGGCCCGGCCCGCACACCCCGACTCCGCCATGGCCTGGTGGTCGCGGGCGGGTCGCCGGGTACCTCGAAGAAGGACGCCGCAGTGTTGTGGGTTTGCCCAACTCCCTCTGCCCGTACGAAAAGGTCGTCAGCCATTCTCAGCCGTTCGCAGCTCGCAGCTACGAACACCTCCCGAGTTCAGCTTCTGTAAGCTCCCATAGCGCCTGCTGGGTAGGCAAGCATCTTGCCTGCAGTGCATGCGTGTACTGCAGGGTGGCCTACCCCGAGCATCGCAGGCGCTGAGCTCCCTAAATGCTCAGAACGGGTCTGAAAAAAAAAAACGAGCGTACTTTCTGGACGTTACCTACTGGAGGAAGAAAAAATGAGCAAAACAAAATAGTGTAACGTTCCCTGTTGCTCGCGAGACGTCTTCGGTAAGGTGTGAGAGGGACAGGACACCGCTATATTCTTTTTCAAGGGAGAACTAATGACGGGTGGGAATGGAGGTCCCTGATTGGTCGAGCGTTTACCCCCACCACCGGCACGTGACGCCGAGGCGGGTAGCTCTCGACCAATCGGGAACGTTTCCCTCTATACCTGCCGTTCCATTCTTCCTTCGTCATTCCCGAAGTGCACTACACGCGAAGTAAAAGCTGGATTTGCAGGGGGGCTGAAGCGGGCTGAAGAGTGCCGTGTACCACCGGCTGTATACGGTCGGGTGTCGGCGCCAGCGCCACCGGCAAACTCGCACCAAACTCTCCACTTTAACTGGGAGAAATGAAAGCCGAGCAGCCGTCGCAGAGAGTTCAGGGGCGCTGGGTCGGGGGAGCTGCTGGGTGCTGGGGCCCTGCTGGGGGCCCTGCGTGGAGCCGAGACAGAGCCGCGCTAGCTGTTTCTATCAGTGACCTCGCGGAGATCGCGCTCTCTGACTTCGCGGAAATGTTTGCGTTCTTCAAGCCAAGCCCTGTACACAAAACGAGTTTATAAGGCCCTTGTAAACTAGAGGATTAGGAAACTATCATTTAAACTCAAAGAAATGTTCGAAAGGAAAAACTTCATCGTTTTTTGGAAAGTTTTTAAGGTTTCCTTATCCTTAATTGCTTGAATCATTGAGAACCATTTCCCGGGGTGCTCGCAGCGGCGGCCCCCAGACTTGTTCGCACATTAATGTGTAATCAATTACCGATAGGCCGGCCACGTGTCCGCCGCCCGCGCGCGACACACAGAAAGCCCCCCGTGTCCTAGCTCATTCCCCCCCCCCTCCCCAAACACTACGTTGACGAGTGATAGCTGTGAGAGACTACCTACGTGCCCTTCCCCTCCCTACATCCCCCACGTTTGCTGTGTGTACTTCCGCCACGGTCGCTCGGTTATTTACTTTCTACTTTTTTTTTTGTTGTCAGTGATGTTTCCGTTTCGGTGTTCGAAGTGAACTCTGGACGCGAAATGCAGCAGTGCGAATGGCTAGACAAACTTGGCGCTCGCAGACAGGCGGCACACACTCACACATAGTCTCTCTCTCTCTCTCTCTCTCTCTCTCTCTCTCTCTCTCTCTCTCT